TTATGTTGCTTCATTATCCTTTAAATTCCTACCAAGCTTCAAGTCCCAAAATTTGTTGACAACATTCTACATTTCTTTGATCATGGCTTTTTTGCTATGAGAGAGCCTGTAAAGAAGTGGATACCTCATGACTAGCGTGGTGTTTCAACCCATGGGTCGGTCCAAAATAAGTGCTTTCTCCATCACCCACCTTATGGCAAGTTCGGTTGGTCATGAGGTTTTGATGTTTCTTTATTTACTTCTAAGACCCTTTTGTAGAATGAGAGGTGATTTGATGTAGAAGTATATTGAGGCTTTATAAGATTTCTCCACAGGATCTTTTCTTCATGATGATATCTCCATATCCACTTGGCGAGGAGAGATTTGTTGTTCTTCCTTACCGAGAAGACCGAGGTCTCCCTTTTCTGTTGGGAGGTTTATAATATTCCATCAAACAAGGTGTGAGTCATCTTTCCACAAGTAGTTTCTGAATAATTTTTCTATATTCGTGGCTACTTTTTGTGGCTTTTCAAATAGAGACATGTAGTAAGTGGGGATGTTGGATAATGTGGCTTGTATTAGGGTGAGTCTTCCACCATTTGAAGTATAACATGATGACCATGTTGACAATTTTCTTCCTATTTTTTCAATAATAATCTTCCAAAAGGAAAAGGATTTGTGGTTTCCTTTTAGAGGTAGTCCTTGGTACATATTCGGCCATTCTCCCTTTTTAAAAACATATATGCTAGGAAATTCTTCAATAATCTTTGAGCTAATATTGATGCCCTTGATCTCTTTTTTTTGGAGATTGATATTTTGTCCAGAGAATCCTTCGAAAGTTTTTTTTTTTTTTTTTTTTTGGAGATTGTAGATGCCATTTTTTCATTTAAAAGAAGGAAACTTTAGAGTCCATGCAATTAAAACATGTAGTAGCCTTCTTTAGAAACCTATCCTTTCAATTATAAGTTAGAAGCCTAACTCAATGATTAGGTTCAACTGAAGTCTCGCCAAGCATCCAATGAAAGGTTGTCTAAACACCTAGTTCTTGTGAACAACTTCAAAGTTCAGGAGGCCTTCACTTATTTTGAAGCCATTACCCCCTAATCTACCTTGTAAGTGATCCCAAGGGGCTCTCCACTTCAAAAGACTATGGTACTTGTTAGTATCATAATATCAAGTTTTATAGTGCCTAGCGTGAAATACCCATACCATCATAAAGGATATGCATAACAAATAGTCGGAAACTTCTTAATATTTTGATTCAATGAAAAGTATAGCTCCATAAATATCCTCCCTTAAGAATATAACTAAATTGGAGCAACATACAATAGAAAGAGAGAAAGAGAAGGGCCACTACAAACACCCTGAGCAAATCCAACTTAATAATATTCCATTATCCTAGAAGAATGTCAAGAATGCAAAGGCACTGTAATCTTTAAAACAAAGTACCTCCCGTAGCCTCTTTTAAAGTGAAAGGAGTATAGGTGAAACCTATATCACCCTACTGCCAATAGGCTGCCTATCAAAACAGTCAATGAATGGCTTAGGAAGACATAAAGGAGAAAAGGAATGAAATCACTCACCCCAAGTTTATACTCCCCAAAACAGCATGTCCATCATCTGTAACCAGTGAGAAGATCGAGCTCAAAACACTCATCAAACTAAACTTCCTACGAAAAACTTGCTACAAATTACAATCTCCTTATTTAAGCCCACTACACTCCTAACTTCTACATCAAACTCATCTCCTCCTACTAACAACTCCGATTCCCCCTTGAGGTAATTTTTCGTTCTCTTATCCTTAATAACCTATGCTTGTTTTGTTAACTTCAATCTCCTGACACATTAGTCAATTGATCCAAACCTTGTAAAAAACCATTAATATAAGTTGCAACCTTACGATTGCTTGTATCAGTAATATGTATGAACTCCATCACGAGAAAGTGAAAGGTGAACGTAGATTATTTGATCGTGAATAAATGAAAAGGGTCACTTATTAGAAACTTGCAAGCAAGTATGAATAGCAAGAAACACGAAAAGCATATATGGTGAGGCCAACAAACAAACACGGTGATTCAGCAACTTCCCAGAAATATTTAATTTCAAATGATAGCAGAGTTATAAAGATTTGTTCTATAATCAAAATAACACTCCAAAGAAATTTGGGTCAGAAGTATCGAAAATGAACTCACATTTGCTGGGTTCCAAAGAAATAGACGAGAACTTTCTTCCAATCAGCTGAGTAACCCCATTTCTCTGGCTTGCTCACCTGTCATCAAAATGAGCTTGCTGAGTGCATTTAAATTGTACATGAAAACACAAAATCCACTATCTTTTCTATCTCAGAGAGATTAGTTGACATTTGATCCATAAATATTGACAACAAAGAGTCAACACTGAAATTAGCAACACGAAAGTGCCTGTTCTAGTAGTGAATTCACAGTACGGAATCATATAATTGTTCCACTTGCAACATCTTCTTCATGTTTGTTGCCTTGTGGGTCAATTCTAAATCGCAACAATAATTAGTACATCCACCATTTTCCAGCCCGCAAAAAGATTAATAGTCAAAAAAGAAAAAAAAAACCCAAATTTCCAGATTGTGTACATGTTATTCGGTTTCACAATCGTTAACCCGTCCAAATCTTCATAGCCCACAGTACCGTCGTTTTCCCTAAAACTTTGAACTAGAATTTCCAAAGCTTCTGAATTTATCTATGAAAACCTATATCAAATATCCATAAAGTTAAAATATTTTCTCAATCAGAACAACCAAAATCTAGCTAAGCTATCTCCAACGCTGTGCCAGACCAATAATCCTCTCAAAAGGCAAATACCCCTAAAACATGCAATCCCAAACCGTTACTAAAGCACAAAAGAAACCACTGCCCCATCCAAAAACAAAAACAAAGTTCAACAAACTCAACCATACCGTAGCAGGCCAAGCAGGGAATCCTTTCACTTTCGCCAGCACAAGATCCCCAACTTTCCATTGCCGGCGCAAGGCGGCAGCCACAGCAGCTTTGCCGGCGCCCTTTCTTCGACTCGGCGCCATAGCCACACCCAGAAAGGGCTTCGATTGAACAAAGAAACCCCACTATTTCAACTCAATTGGAAGCACAAAGCCACCAATTAGCAGAAATCGCCCGACGAATTGGAAGTTGTTACACCGACAAAAGAACTTCAAGTAATTAACAGACATTGGAAACCAAAACCAGTCGGATAAAGAAGATTCCAGTGACGGAAACACGAAGTGAGAAAAAAAGTTGGAGAACGAAAGGAAAAAAAAAAAAAAAAAAAAAACCCTAAAATTCCACAGCAAGAGAGACAGAAAGCCAAGAAAAAAACACAGACTGCAGAGTTTTTTTTATTTTTCTCTCTTCTTTTTTGTGGAAGGAGCGTTTTCACACAGGGAGATATGGAGAACACTAAAATACGCCGCGCGTACAATAAGAAACTAGTTTCACGGTGAATTCTAATATGCGCTTTTCTTACTTTTTGATACTATGTAAATAACACATGACCCACCAAACCAATCATTCGGCTCCGGCCCATACTTCCCAGGTTTTGGTGGGCCGGTCCACGAACGGTCCAGTCGGCTATCAAATTGATTCAACCGATCAACGAGACGAAGATATATAAATGTATTTATATCCTCACACATTTATAAATTAAATTTAAATTTAAATAATTGATAATATATTTATAGGTTATAAAGCTTGATGCATATTAAAGTGAGAATAAGCCATTATTAATTAATTTATAACATATTTTATTTTATAAATTTGTTACAGCTATTATTTTACACTATGATATAGTTTATAATATAACATATTACATATTTTTTTAATTTAACAAACACGACTATAATTTCATTTTAAAACAAGAACAACACAAAAAATATTTAATTATATATTTTAGCACGACAAATAATTAAATTTTAAAAAATATGTTTCATATAAAAAAAAAAATTAAATTTTTATAGCCTATTTAATAAGTTTTTGAAGTTATTTGGTATTAAATGAAAATTAAACTAAAAAAAGGTAATATTTTGATATATAAAATCTAAATAAAATTTATTCTCAAAATTTGGAGACCAGAAAAGTAATTTTTCCAAATTTAGGAGATTTATAATTTTTTTTTTAAAGAAGAAAATGATCCTCATAAATATAACATAAACGAATTTATTATATTTTTATAGTAATAACAAAAAATTATTATCTTAATTATACGTTAAATTTTGATTATTTCCAGTATTGCCCTTGGAGTCCAAAAATAATTATTATTAATTAATTGCCCTATTAAAAAACATTTTTTTTCTTAACTACGTTTTGTTTTAAAAAGTTTTTTTTTTTTATTACAAATTTTAATTTTGTATAAGAAAAAAAAAACTAATTTTTATAATTTGTAATTAATATTCTAAATAAATATTACACCTATTGTTGGATGAATAGAGGGTCGAGACTGGTGGGTCTTGGAGTGTCGATCAATAACCACATCACATACGTAGATTTTTTTATGAATGTGTAGCGAGCTCACTGTCTCGTTTCCAAGAGAACGTAGCAGGAGGGATAACCTACCCATATAACCAACGGGGAGAATTACACTATTAACGGAGATTGCATAACAGAAATGCCTCATTAATTAGTTGAACTTTATTCATATTCAAATATTTTATATCAACAAAATAATTATTTATTTTTATCAAATTGAACCACTAAATTTGGTTATTCCAACCTAAAAATAAGAAATTTAAAGTCAATTGTAAATATAATTCAACTCATTGTGGAAGGTCAACTCAAAAGTCAAATTTTAACGTCTTGATATGAACTCTAGGAATTAAAATAGTATGTAAGAAAAAGAAAAATAATAATTGAAAAAATTTTAACATAACGTACATGGGGACAAGGGTAAAATGGTCATAAAGGCGAATGAAAACATTCGTCACACCCATAACGGTTATGATATAAATAGCGCGAACTTAACGATTTCATGTGGACTCTGATCCGATTCCTAGCTGCCATTATAACCTCTCCGATTTGGAGCTCATCTTGTCCCAAAACAATTCCCCAATTTCGTTGTTTTGATCCGTCATTCTTCCCGGTTGATCGAGCTCCTTCAGAATATCAATTAATATTCACTCTACACCCCTGAAAGGTTTGTTTTCAGCCTTTTACCCTGTTTTCGTATTCGTTTTAGCCTAAGATTTTCGTTTGTTTCCTGAGAAAATGTTCGGAAGGATTGGAATAATGTTGAGGAATTTCTTACTGTTCTTTTGTGGATTTATAATTGTATGCAAGTTGGATGAGAAGACCGATATTACTGTTGTATGGTTAGTTTATAGTATTGAAATTCAGACGTGAATCTCAGGCTATTTTGTCAATCCTGATTTTCCTCCAGCGATTTTGTTGGTGCAGCTTTAGAAAGGAGTTATTTCTTTTTTCTTGCCGAAAGAACATTGGGATTTTAGATCTGTTTTTGCATTTGCGCTCGTTGATTAAACGACCAATGTTTTTTGTAATCATTTTTGTGATATCGACCAGGAAATGATATTTGTGTATGTTTTCTTCCCGTGTATCATTTATTATTTGAGATTAAAAGGCGTGCAGACGAGAATGTTAAACTCAGAAATTACTTGAATTTGGTTAGGGCATAGCGCAGTCTTCAGTCTGGTTGCTGAGTTAGAAACAACGGATAGGATAGGATGTTTTGGAACTGTAAATTACAAGACAATTTTTTTTCTTCACTCAGTCATGAATATGAATAATTTCATAAATCAGTGTCTTCACTCAGATTGTTTGTCATGTACTTCTTGTAAAACAACCAGGAGATCAACGATCAAAGGGATAAATGGCCAATCTTCAAGACATAGGCGTTTCTGCAACAATCAACCTTCTCTCTGCATTGGCCTTTCTTGTAGCATTTGCACTATTACGGCTTCAACCAATCAATGATCGAGTGTACTTTCCCAAGTGGTATCTAAAGGGAATAAGGGGCAGTCCAAGACGTTCGGGACGTGTGCACAATTTTGTCAACTTGGACTTCAATATGTATATTAGGTTTCTAAATTGGATGCCTGCAGCATTGAAAATGCCAGAACCTGAGCTCATTGAACATGCGGGACTTGATTCTGCTGTGTTTGTTCGAATTTACCTTCTTGGGTGAGCTGAATTTTGGTCTGTGCATTAAGTCTATAGACTCTGAGTATATTATGATACGCAGTTATAGATTATTACAGGAGAAGCTTATATGTGGTCTAGTTTGTACTAATGCATGTCGTATTACATTTCATGGTGTGGAAGGATAATGCATTTAACATACATAATGCAGCTTGAAGATATTTGTCCCTGTAACTTTTCTTTCTTTTGCTGTTCTGGTGCCTGTCAATTGGACTGGGGATACCTTAGAGCATGCCAAAGGCTTGACATACAGTGATATTGACAAACTCTCAATATCCAACATTCCAGCAGCATCAAAAAGGTTTTCCTCTTCTTATCTGTGTCCTATCTGCTCAATTAACCATATTGTAAGAATTCCTGTGAACAGTCCCAAATACAGTTATCAATCCCCATAATAATGTTTCTAGAACTCTTTAAAGCAACTTTAAGCAGGATCAAAATCTCTATTTGACTTCTACAGATAATACTGCCCCATATTTTTATGGAACTACCGTGGACCTACCCATTAGTTTCAATTAAAAACCCTTGGTAAATTTTATTTTCCATGTCCTAAAGAGGAAGTTCCTTGAAAGTTACCTTTAGTTTATAGTAGTTCTTTGTTGCATTATTGGCAATATCTTTGTGCTGCTAACTTGATATTTTGAGGTGCACATTTTTTGAAGTATAGTTTTAATTATCACTGTATGAAGTCATTTGTGCATGTCTCAATTTAAGCTTCTTGCTTTCACTCTGACACAACACTCTCTTCCAGATTTTGGGCGCATATAGTCATGTTTTACGTCTTCTCATTTTGGACGTATTATGTTTTATACAAGGAGTACAAGCTTATAGCTTCCATGAGGCTACGGTTTTTAGCAGCTCAAAAACGACGTCCAGATCAGTTTACAGTGAGTTTCAGTTTGTATGCTTCTACATATTTGTTATGACCTTTTTCTCAACATTATATCCTCAGGGAGGGGAAGAAAATACATCTGCACAACACTTTCTAGAGTTTATACTCATTAAGCATTGAAGCTCAATCATGTATTTGCCTATGGTGGATCTAGGTGGAACCTGATGAAGAGCAAATAATTTTATTTGTTGTCGTACTCAGCTTAAAGTATGATGAAGTTAATTTCGGAAAAGCTGCAAGCAATTTCAAATCAGACCAATGCGTTTAAGAAATGGATCAAACCTTCCGGGGTTTGTTGGTTGGATCTACAAATCATAGGCATTGGCATCTGTTTGTTATGACCATTAATTCTTAAAGGAATCTATAGTGCAAGTCTAATAGGCTTCATATGACAATTCCATTTAAACTAATAATAGTATTTGACCGAATAGCATAGCAGAATTTACAAACCCTTTAAGGGTAGAGTATGCAACAGTCCTGAACTCTTTTGTTTTAAAAGAAAAGGAGAAATTTTATATTGGCATGTGGAAATGTGAAATTGCGAATATAATAGATTTTTAAATACCAACATTTTATTGTTTTTCCTCAAGTACTCCTGTATCTTTCTTGTCAATTCTAAAATGATTATGTTTCAAATGTCTAATTGAAGTGATCTCAATATGTTTGCATTGACATTTTGTTTTTAGTTAGTAATTTGATAACTTTTAACCCTGATAACTTAGTTCCAAGTTTCTTTATAGGTCCTTCTGAGGAATGTTCCTCTTGATCCTGATGAATCAATCAGCAAGCACATTGAACATTTCTTTTTTGTAAATCACCCCGATCACTATCTGACACACCAGGTATGAAACTTTTTCCAGATAAATAGTATGTAAATTTCCAATAAAGTATTTATGTTCTAATAAGTTTATAATGTTGCAATATCGATGTAGAAATAAGTATATCGTTATATTAGTTTCCACATTAATTTGATATATATTAATGCAGCCACGTGGATGGTGATGTCTGGATTCTGAAAATAGGATCGTCTCTCCTCCAACTTTCTAGTGTCACTGCAACTTTATTTATTTATTTATTTATTCTTTATTGTAGCTTGTTTATAATGCAAATTACCTTGCAAAGTTGGTTGAAAAGAAGAAGGGTTTACAGAATTGGCTTGTATACTATGAGAACAAGTATGAGAGAAGTTCTACGCAAAGGCCCACTACAAAGGTATCTTTCTTTACATGGGAAACTTAAGTCTCTTTCCTTCCTGAATTTTCTCATCGAAACTTCAAATAACCTGGAAGAAGTGAACTGCATTTATAGACAGGTTTATGGGGACTGTGGGGAACCAAGGTGGATGCAATTGAGTATTATTCTACTGAGGTCGAGAAGTTAAGTAAAGAAGTGAGTAAAAGTAACATGTACAACTTCAATTACATTTTAACGAGCTTTTTTTTCAATTCCTCATCTGATATCTGGTTTCGTTAGAACTTATTTTTGCAACACATCAAAACTTCCATTATTCTCCATGTTTTTGTTAATACCTTTGCTTCCTTAATCAGATTGTAGCTTAATTGAGCACTTGGTTATTTATTTGTACTTTATCCTTTCTTCGAAGATACATATTTTGGCAACGATCAACCTTGGTCAGTCATGGTAAAGATGGTATACCACATCACATAATAGGAAAAAAGGAACATATATGCAAACTGACAGTCGTCCAATCTCCTATCTATCTTGAACTGCCATCTATTTAATAGCCACAGACCCCCAACACCCCCCCCCCCCCCCCCCCCCCCCCCCCCCCCCCCCCCCCCCCCCCCCCCCCCCCCCCCCCCCCCCCCCCCCCCCCCCCCCCCCCCCCCCCCCCCCCGGAAGGCTGTTGCATTGTTCCTTTATTTACTTGGTAAATCATTGTTTTTACTGCATAGGCGCTTATTATTGAGGTCTCACGTAATCAATAATATGTCTTTAACTGAGTAACTTCTCGCACGTGGTACCAGTTTTTAGCAAATATTGATGCTGCGTTCTTTGCATCCTTTAATACGAATTTCATTTTGTATCCCAAATTATTGGTGTCTAAGGTGTTATTTTTGGTGCAGGAAGATAAAGAGCGAGAGAAAGTTTTAAGCGACCCCGATGCCTTAATTCCAGCAGCATTTGTGTCATTTAAGACAAGATGGGCAGCAGCTGTATGTGCTCAAACACAGCAGTCCAGTAACCCTACAATTTGGTTGACAGAATGGGCACCTGAACCACGTGACCTCTTTTGGGATAATCTTGCTATTCCATACGTAAATCTTGCATTACGAAAATTGATCATGGCCGTTGCTTTATTTTTTCTCACCTTTTGCTTTATGATACCCATAGCTTTTGTTCAATCTTTGGCGAACATAGAGGGAATTGAGAAGGTCTTTCCATTCTTGAAGCCTATAATTGAGAAGTAAGTTCTTTCTACCTTTATTGCCTTCTAGTCTCATCAATTTTTTCTCGTTTAATGTGCTTAATTCTTAATACTATTCAGTATTCGAGCTTCTCAGAGTCAATAAATGCAACTGCAATTTATAATAACTCAGGCCAGGCAGGTTCCCCGTTGTTTACAATGAACTATAGGCTTTAGCATGCATATAAAAACTATATGACAATTTATTACCTTCTCTCAAACTTCGTGCAACAGGTAGATATGCTATTGTGGTGGCAGTTATGGCCTAACAGTTAAAGTTTCAAACACTGGAAACATTTGTTGCAGGAAGGTTATAAAGTCTGTCATCCAAGGATTTCTTCCCGGAATTGCTTTAAAGATTTTCCTAATTCTTCTTCCAAGAATTCTCATGGCCATGTCACAAATAGAAGGTTTTACATCCCTCTCAGCGTTAGATAGGAGAACAGCTGAGAAGTATCATCTGTTCATTCTAGTCAATGTGTTTTTTGGAAGCGTTGTAACAGGAACAGCATTTCAGCAGCTTCAAAAGTTCCTTAACGAGCCCTCAACAGAGTATGTTCTGCTTTCATCTCAGAAAGTTATGCTAATGTTCCACAGAAGTTCTCATAGAACAAAATATTCTTTAGACTACAAAAATGAATTTTTGCAATAAGAAAACTAGAATCAAGTATAATGGTGTAGCATGCTTATCAAAGAAATATTACCTTCATTTTAAAATTCTTGAAATAATTACGACTACATTTTTACTACAAACTATACATGAACCAAAGTTAGCTCAACAAGACAGTTGAGGATGAGCTTAACTCAAAGTTTTGATCCCTATAATTTTTGTGTTTTATGGCCTTTATCTATCCAGATTGAAGAGTATAGATGCCATGAAAATTATACTCTTTTTTGTTTGTTATAAACTGAATGTACATTTTAGGCATGAAATTATTATCTAGAAAGAAGCCAGAATGGCAAATAAGTTCATCGTTAAACTAGTTCACAGGATGCACTTTGAAGAGGGGATACTCCAGCATGATGCATCAATATACTGCTTTTTCAGGTTCACAAAAACAGTTGGTGACTCGATTCCAATGAAAGCTACATTTTTCATTACTTACATAATGGTTGATGGTTGGGCTGGAATTGCTGCAGAGATTCTCAGATTGGTTCCACTGGTCATGTTCCACCTGAAGAATGCATTTTTAGTTAAGACAGACCAAGATAGGGATCAAGCAATGGATCCTGGTTGCTTGGACTTTCCCGTATCAGAACCTCGAATACAGCTTTATATCTTGCTGGGGTTGGTTTATTCTGTTGTCACACCAATACTTCTCCCTTTCATCCTTGTATTCTTTGCTTTCTCCTACTTGGTTTATCGTCATCAGGTGAGTTTGCTAAATTTTTCATAGCATATTCTCGTTTTTAAATGTTAACTAGCAGCAACACTAGAACTTATATCTAGTCAATTAATACTTGTTTCACTAAGGTTTTTTCGGATTTCGCTTATGGTTTTTAACTTCGTTGCTGCTTCAGAATTCTTGGAAACTCACTTTAAAGAGCTTTATATATGCATGAAGAAATAGTGTGTTCAATTTATCCCATCCATGTTACATAATGTTGGTTTATCGCAACAAGAAATTTAGTATACTTATGGCTTCTGCAGACCAATGGAATTAATAAACAAATCACCCTCGCTACTATTGTCTATTGTTTTTCATTTTTTGTGAGTTTGGTGCAATATTTTATTGAAGCTTATATGGTATTAGGATTTCGAACAAAAAAAAAAAAAAAATCTCTTTTCAGAACTACTGTTGTGCACAAGTTTATATTGCCATTTTGATATGCCATTATAGTTTGAAACTAAAGTTGTTGTGCCTGCTGTCTCAGATTACTTTGGACTCTGAATACATTTTGAACAAAAATTTCAATATAATATCTCAATGACTTCTATTGTTTCATGGTGCTTATATTCTTCAGATCATTAATGTATACAACCAGAAGTATGAGAGTGGTGCAGCGTTCTGGCCCCATGTACATCGTCGAGTAATTATTGGCTTAATGATAGCCCAGCTTCTTCTGATGGGATTGTTCAGCATGAGAGAGGCAGAACAATCATCAGCATGTCTTGTTGCACTACCTATTTTGACCCTCTGGGTTCATAAATTCTGCCAGGGGCGTTTTGAGTCCGCCTTCGTCAAGTTTCCCTTACAGGTTTTTTCTCAATCTCTCTCTTTTTTGAAAGTCAAAAAGCATGCAACAATCAAGTTTCCGATTTGGATCAATATTCATATCATCATGGTCAATACGAATGCACGATGATCATATTTATTATCATAGAGTCAGCGATTTCGATATCGTTTCTTGTTCTGTATTTTCCACTCTTTCTTCTTTTACGTTTTCCTCATGTAGTGGACATTCCAAAATGAAAAGAAAACAAAGTATTATGAAAATACGTCATGGGAACTAGACACCAAAAATCTCAATTTACATTTCCACAATGTATACGTAGTTTTAAGAATCATTCTTAGACAGCAAGAAAGAAGAAACGAATAGTGTGAATGAAAAGAAGTCATTAGATAGACATACTTTTTATCATGCATCATGATAGAGTGCGAAATCCAAAATGAATAGAAAACAAAGTATTGTGAATGCATCATGGGAACTAGACACCAAAAATCTCAATTTACATAGTTTTAAGAGCGTTTCTTAGACAGCAAGAAAGAAGTAACGAATCGTGTGAATGAAAAGAAGTCATTAGATAAACATACTATTTATGGTTCATCATGATAGAGTTTGAAATCCAAATTGAAAACTGTTGGCAGGATGCAATGGTGAAGGACACACTGGAAAAGGCTACAGAACCAAATTTAGACTTGAAAGCTTATTTAAAGGATGCTTATGTGCACCCAGTTTTCAAGGACAGCTCGTTAGAACAAATAACATTCATTGATGATGATGAAGAAAGCAACTCTCTGGTTCCTACAAAGAGAACCTCTCGGAGGAGTAGTAAGTTTCCTTCTGAAGACAACTCTGAGTCAGATGCGTAGGCTAAAATATTATAGCAATGAACTTAGAAAAAGAAGCATCTTTACACATGATTTTAACTGAAAATATCATTAGAGCTATTACACTCTTTGATGTAGCCAGAGTTGGGTCAATAATAGAAATTCTGGAATCATACTCATCCTATAGAACCTTAACACGTGTCGGTTGCTTATAAGATCTCAACCTAAGGGAAGATGCATTGTCTTTCTTGAGACAAGATTACTCTTTTTAACCAATAAGAGTCCTTAAAATTCCAAAATGGCATGTTGGATCCTCAAAGTTTTGAAGTTTAAAATTGGTTTCTAAATGATTTTTTGGTCTAATTGACCTATTAGAATGATAAATGTAACAGTTAACGTATACTATCTATGACTTTATGCTATGCTATGCATTTTTTAATCGAGTTTGAAGTTTGTATATGCATACGTATGTTTATTTATTTTTTTATAGGACCAATTAAAGTTAATTTCAAGCTTCCATGTTAATTATATTTTGGGACATTTTGAAAATTTAAAGAACCAAGTAGATCTACTTTCAATCAAGCACAAAACTTGATAAACAGGATCCATAAACTCTTTTGAATACAGTTTTTTGTTTAATGAATTCAAGCAAGCATATTTAAGGACTAATTAATTTTTATTTGAATCATAACTTTTCAAAAATTGTTCCAACAAAAATGCCTCACATTTGAGATCATCTCTAGTGCACCTTTAATTTTATTAAAATCAATGAAATTAAAGTTGATTTTTGAAGATTTAAAATTATATATAGTGAATGAAGTATATCATTTATGATATGAAATCATTACAGGTAGAGTAAGATTCAAATTATCTTGTCGAATATGTCAAGACAAGAATACCTTATTTGAGATTTGAATCACTTACAAGCAAAAACGATCATATCATTTTTGTTGATCAAATATTTAAGGCAAGAACACTTGTTTGAGATTTGAATCCCTCTATAAACAAGATTGATCACGTCGAACTTATATGATTCTATATGCATAGAGGCCATTGGCTAATGAAATGCTTCTCTTACTTTATTTTATAAAGCAAGATTGATCACGTCGAGCTTGAATGATTCTATATGCATAGAGGCCATTGGCTAATGAAATGCTTCTCTTACTTTATTTTATAAAGCAAGATTGATCACGTCGAGCTTGAATGATTCTATATGCATAGAGGCCATTGGCTAATGAAATGCTTCTCTTACTTTATTTTATAAAGCAAGATTGATCACGTCGAGCTTGAATGATTCTATATGCATAGAGGCCATTGGCTAATGAAATGCTTCTCTTACTTTATTTTATAAAGCAAGATTGATCACGTCGAGCTTGAATGATTCTATATGCATAGAGGCCATTGGCTAATGAAATGCTTCTCTTACTTTATTTTATAAAGCAAGATTGATCACGTCGAGCTTGAATGATTCTATATGCAAAGAGGCCATTGGCTAATGAAATGCTTCTCTTACTATATTTTTCAAGTCTACTTACAAATATAATATAATAACTTTATATAATATCAAATGAAAATATTAAAAACATTTCAAGAGTTTTAACATTTATATTTTATGTCTGATTATGTAAATATAACTTGCGAGTAAATAAAAAATCTTAAAATATATTAATGAAATACAATAATTCTAGTAATCCAAACAAAATTGAAGGTATTTTGAAGTATATTATATGAATGATGTCTCTAAGTTCATATCAATTTCTCATTTTAAATTTAATGAATATAACCATTTAATCTATAGACAAAGTGCTGAGAATAATAACAAATTTAGATCGGCATCATGAAACTATTGGATTCATTTGGTTTATCGCTCGTATTCTTACATGAATCAAAAAAAGGTTAGTAAAGCCAATATAAATATAACTCGGTCTAAATGATCTTACACCCCTCTACATTCTCATCATTGAACAAGTAGTGCCCCGGTGCAGCAGCGGGGGGCGGTTGCTGCTGCCAATAATAAGGTGGCGGCTCAGACCATCGATAATATCCGTCCCCTGGTGGCATGGCTGGTGGCATGGCTGGTGGCATGGCTGGCGGCAGAGGCTGTGGCAACGGCTCCATCATTGGACGCGCAAACCCACGGCTTGCATCATGATCCACACCTCCAAATTGCGACCCCAGCCCAGTAGACAGCCGGTGGCGGTACGGCACATCCACCGGCGGAACGGCGCCGGCCACCTCGTTGAAATGAACCTTGCTGGAGCCAGAAACGCAGTTCTGGGTCCAATCAATTTTGTTACAGTGAGGATCTGAAGGAGCAGAAGGAATATTCTGATGAACGAAATCTCTGACAGCAGCGGAGGTCGCCGGCGCCGTATATCCCATGGGTTGTAATCGTGCTAGCTTACCAGTTTTTGACATTGCACGTACGATGGTTAATGGATCAAAGCTGTAATTTGCAGTGATACTTACCAATCCTTTTTGTATATCAATGGCTACGGATTTGACATCTTCATTGGCCGCCATTACAACCAAAAACAAACAGACAAAACATCCATAAATTATAAATGTTTTTAACAAATTTTGTTTGTTTAAACCTCGTGAGAGATTTTCACACTCTTGCAAGTATGTTTAGTTCTCCTTTCCAACCTACATGTAATCTCACACTCCACCTCTCTTTGGGGCCATTGTCCTCACTGGCACTCAACCGAGGTGAGATCTCACAATCCACCCTTCTTTTAGACTAGCATCCTCGTTGGCACTCAACGATCTCACACTCCACCCTCTTTGGGACCCATTGTCCTCTCTAGCACTCAAACGATGTGAAATCTCACACTCCACCCCCTTTTGGGGTCAGCGACCTCGTTGGCACTCAACTGATGTGGAATCTCACAATTTACGCCCTCTTTTGGGCCAACGTCATTGTTGACACTCAACCGATGTGAGATCTCACAATCCACACTCTCTTTGAGGCCGAACGTCCTCCCTATTACTCAACCAATGTGAAATCCCACATGTTGTATCTTTTATAATGATTTCAATGTTCGATTTTGTGTTTGATAAATTTGTATATTCTAGAAAATACTAAAATTTAAAGTGAATAGTCGATCCGTGTCAAAATTAAAAAATAATTTTTAAATTTAAATTTATGAGTGAAGCTATATGGGCATACCTGGAAGTTTGAGAAGGTTCTTCTGGACTCTGTTGGGGCATGCGTTGCAACACTTGAGATTCACTTTGAGAACATAAGTCTAAACAAAAAGATGAACGATATGATCAAAATAAATAAATAAATAAATAAAAAAATAAAAAAATAAAAAAATAAAAAGAAGAAGGAAGAACATTATCATACTCGATCACTGGATGCGTGGCTAGCTTCCATTGCTACGGAAAGCTTCAAATGAATCACAAGCTTTTGTGAGATGAAAAATCATGAAATCATATATTATATAGAACAAAATATGGAAATTATTCCATAATGGGATGGAGATTTCCTAAAATTAGGCTTTTCCATATAATATAATATTTATTTTTTCCTTTTAAAACTTTCTGATATCAAATTTTTAAAGGTTGGGAATTAAATTATAATTTTTTTTAAAAAAAATTAATTTAAAAATGTATTTTACCAAAAATAAAAAGAAGATATTCAATAATTTTTAACCATTTTGATGAGGAAACAATTTAAAGAATAACATGAAAGAAAAATGAATTTAAGTAGTTGACCTATTTTGTGGTGACCCAAGCTCACTCATCAGCATGCTCTTGCGCCGAAGATGAACGGGGCTAACCGATCTATCGAAACTGTGGGATGTAAAAATGCACGGTAGGAGAGCGTTCTGCCTAGAGGGAAGCACCCGTGCGAGCAGTGGTGGACGAAGTGGAATCGAGAATGTCGGCTCGAGTAACGCAAACATGGGTGAGAATTCAATGCCCCAAAAACCCAAGGGTTCTTCCACAAGGTTCGTCCACGGTGGGTGAATCAGGACCTAAGATCAAGTCGAAAGGCATAGTCAATGGACAACAAGTGAATATTCCTGTACTACCCCTTGTTGGTCCATGGAGAAGGCTAGGTTAGCCAAAAGTATTTTCTAACGCTAACCATCATATCTCACCTAATTTAAGTATAATACCTTCGACCAAAATATCAAAAAATTCACATTCAAAATCCTATATAATGAACTAAGAATAAATTTTATATATATATATATTGTCAAACGAACACGACTCTCCACAATGGTATGATATTGTCCACTTTGAGCATAAAACTCTCATGGATTTACTTTGGGATTCCCCAAAAGGCCTCACACCAATAGAAAGTATTCTTTGATTATATACCCATGATCATTTCCTAAATTAGCCAATGTGGGACTTTCATCATTCAACACCTCCCATCGAACAAAGTCAATATAGAATAAGAAACAACCATCTGAATTCACGTTCATAATACTAAATATTGAACGTACATTGATTATGCCATTGCCATTTATGTACTCTAAAATTATTAGTGATCAACTTGAAAGTGGAAAGAAGAGATGAAGAGGACCAAGATAATAATCTTGAAGGATTGGACTCAGGACAATAAAATGCAGCTTCCTTAATCTATGCAAATTACATAACATCCTAATAATCTCTCAAGGGCCTAATATAAATAACTGATTCTGTAAACAATGTCGAATAGCATCATGTTGTCAAGGATGGATCTTCAAAAATTGTTTGGTTTTGGCGGAGCTTTCAAGGAAATGGGCGCAGTACCTCAGGCTCAGCTAAGAACTTTGGAAACTACTCCAGCACCAACCGTTCTACCACCCTCCCTCAGGGCAAATCTTTGTCCTGCAAATAATACAGCATTACATTTTTGGCAAGAAAAAAAGCACCCTAATCCATGGATGTGAAATATTTCATTTCTTACAAACTAGTATCAGATTCAAGGCTGACTGGTTTACAAAAAAAATAAACCCCAAACTTCTCTATGAACATTTGAACCAACTTATGCACTAAACATAGACAAAATTTTGCAGTACCAAAGCAATTAATAGGAAGTAATCGTTAGATTTAGTCTTTATATCCCAAGAGAGTTTAAATGAGACGCACCTGCTTCAAGGGGAACGGGTAAAATCAACTCAAAAGCTGCTGTCACATTGTCACCAGGCATAACCATCTTAACATTTACAGGTAATTCAACCTTTCCAGTGATATCTGCAGTTCTCATGTAAAATTGAGGTCTGTAGTTGGACATAAAAGCAGTATGTCGGCCACCTTCCTCTTTTGTGAGAACATATATCTCGGCCTCAAATTTCTTGGAAGTTTTGATAGTTCCAGGCTTTGCAATAACCTATAAGTAAAGAAAAAAAAAAAAAAAAAAACACTGAAACAATCATATCCAAGTGTGTAGGCTACAGTCACCTTCAAAATGTAATTCCTTGAGCGTATGAATCCTTCTACCTCATTGTCATAATGTCATCTATATTGATAATTTCCATGAGATGCAAAAACATTTCAGCATGAGTAATGCCAATGTATGTACCTGTCCACGTTGAATGTCTTCTCTTTTTAGACCACGGAGAAGGAGACCGACGTTATCACCAGCCTAACAAACACATGAAGTCAACATTAGACAAGTGTAAGGAATTTTTCAACTCATTTGGCTTGTTCTATTGGAGGTCCTTTCAGTATTAGTGTTCCATTTTTAAATTAAATTTTCTTCCTTGTATAATAAAAACACACAAATACGTGCTAGCGAAGTTAGAATCATAAACCAAAGTAATTATTTGTATTTAGGTAGCTTCCAATTTTCTGGCTCCTTTTTTCTAGGACTTTACTTCTGTCATTGTTCTTTTGTATATGTATTTTATTATAAAAAAGAAAAACTATTAATGAGGTAAGTAAAAGTTAACAGCCAATTACTTGTCCTTGATCCAAGATTTTCTTGAACATCTCAACACCAGTTACAGTAGTTTTCAAAGGAGGTCCCTGCAAAAGACATCGTGAACAGAGTATTATCAAACCAATCTTTAATTTCACGAACAAGGATCACAATGACAACAACACACAATACCTAGCCCCAAGACTGTAATCATCCCTAGTTAGTTGCAGGTTCAACAGTGACTCAAAAGTGGTACAAGGTGTGTGCCCATACCCGCACACACAAAACATAGTTAGAAAATGAATGTGGCATATCTAATTACCTGAGCTAACCCTAGAACTTCAACTTCTTCACCAACTTTAATAGTTCCCTGCTCAACACGGCCAGTAGCAACAGTTCCACGACCCTTCAGCATAAACAGATAGAATCAAGTTCACTTCAAAAATAACTCTTCATACATATATTTTATCAGCCAAACATCAACGTACTGAAATTGAAAAGTGAACCTATACTCATTACATTAGCGCTACAAATTGTGACTTCGGTAAAGTTTTTTTGCAACTACAGGTGCACATGGTGCAGTCTACACAAAAAATGTCAAGTACTCAACTGGATGTAAGTTCCAACTTGATGATATACAATCTATTATGAACAGTCTGAATTTATAGTATTTTTTTTATAAGAACATGTTCACAGGTAAATAATTAAAAAAAAAAAAAAAAAAAAAAAAAAAAAAAAAAAAAAAAAAAAAAAAAAAAAAAAAAAAAAAAAAAAAAAAAGTGGAAGAGGATAGGAGTTCCCCTTACTGAGATAGAATAAATAAATTTTATAGAACGGTTGACCATCCAGAAAGTCAAGGTAACAGAACAAACTATTTCGATATAAGACAGGGCATGTCCTCCATACCTGAATAGAGAAAACATCTTCAATTGGCATCAGGAAAGGCTTGTCAAGCTGGCGAACAGGGTCAGGAATGTATTCATCAACAGCATCCATTAACTTTAGAATAGCCTTTTTACCAATTTCTTCATTTGTACCCTGTAATGCAGATAAAGCTGAACCCCTAATGATGGGAATGTCATCGCCAGGGAACTTGTAGAAGCTGAGAAGTTCTGCCAAAAACATAAACAACAATTTAAAATGTACAATTGACATACTGGAAACAGTAGCTGCACCCAAATACAACTGTGTAATCATACCACGAAGTTCCATTTCCACAAGGTCCAACAATTCAGGATCATCAACAGCGTCAACTTTATTCAAGAAGCACACAAGTGATGGAACACCAACCTGAATGATGCAATAAAACAAATTTATAGTGCATTAACATTACATCCCAAAAGCACATAAAAACAAGAAAATCTGCACTGCAAAAAACACAAGATCCAAACAAACAAATGTACACCTGCCGTGCTAGTAGAATATGCTCCTTAGTCTGAGGCATGGCCCCATCAGGACCAGACACAACAAGGATGCCACCATCCATTTGAGCAGCTCCAGTAATCATGTTCTGCACCAATTACCACCATCATTCAATAGTTGTTCATAAAACCTCCGATAATCAGAAAATTATAACCAATTGATGTAAACATTGCGCCATTGGGGGTAAAAACTAAAATGTTGAAAGTAAAAAAAATGTCAAGAAACCTGCTCTTGTGTACAAGTAGTATACAATATGCAAGTTGTCCACCAATAAATGGCATTCAGCTTGCAGTGAACCTGACTTGAGTACCCACCTTCTAGTTAAGAAGAACGCTAACATTCTTCATTATTCTACCTACTTATGCTTGCTACTTGCAACTCCTTGCCCATGACATTTATATCAACCCACCAATCAAAGGTATAACTGAATAATAAATTACTGTGCTCTGTTTTAAATAATAAAAATATCAATCCATGGCTTACTTTAACGTAGTCTGAATAATAAATTACTGTGCTCTGTTTTAAATAATAAAAATATCAATCCATGGCTTACTTTAACGTAGTCTGCATGTCCAGGGCAATCTACGTGTGCATAATGTCTCTTAGCAGTTTCATACTCTACGTGAGCCTGCAAAATTGAAATTTATCATAAACCCAAGTCAAATGATGGTTTGAGGAGAGATATGCATAGGCGACAGAGTAAATGGAAAGTAAGTTCCTAACAAGAATAAAATTTGAACAACAACCGTTGCAATGGTAATTCCTCTCTTTTTCTCCTCCGGAGCTTTATCAATTTCGTCAAATGCTATAGCCTTAGCTTTCCCTTCCTCGGCCAACACCTAAAGGAAATTGAAATTCAAACGATATCTCCATGTATTGAGTATCCGACAAAAAGTTTTTACTCGCAACGAATCAAAGATACATTAGCACTTCGTTAAAAAAAAAAATGATAATCCAACCTTCGTAATAGCTGCAGTCAATGTTGTCTTTCCATGGTCAACATGCCCAATTGTCCCCACATTCACATGAGGCTTTCTGTCCACCCGCAATGTAAATCAAAATAAATTAACAAAAAAGACTAACCAATTACAGAGAACCAAGAAAATACAAATCCGTCTGGAAACCGCATAAACATGCTGAAAAAAAAAAAGAGAGAAAAATCTTCAGAGTTATAAATTGCTTACGTCCGAGTGAAGGTGGCCATGGATCTCCACCAAGGAATGGGACTGGAAGTTCCATCGTTTCTGGAAAGCAATTCGGAGATGGAAGATTGGGCGGAAGCGGATCCTCTGCAACACCACGATGATGAAGAGGAATAGGCAAGAAGGCGCTTGGAGGTATAGCATCGGAGAGCAGCCGAGGCCATTGGAACTCAAATCGCTCGCCGGAAGCAGTCCGAGAAGAAAGTACAAAGAAGCGGGAAGAAGAAAAGAGAAAAGCTTCTGAAAAAAGCTTCTTCTTCCGGTTTGGCGGAAGCTATTTGGGGTTTACAGAGACGAAGTTCTGCGAGGGTTTTAGAAGTTTATGGGCCTTAACTTCCCGCCTGCTATTGCCGGCCCATTTAATTTTAGGCCCAAGCTAAACATATGTTTTCTTTTTTATAATAAATTAAATCGTAAATTTAATCCCATGAATTTAAAAATGTTAAAAGATACATATAAAAATTTGATCTTATTTTTAAATTTGTAAAATTATTTAGAAATATTAATGAAAATTTTAATAATTGATATGAATGTAAAAATATTATTAAAATAATTTATTAACGATGGAATTCAAGTGATATTTTTTGAAAGTTTAAAAATATTATTAAAATAATTTATTAACGTTTTATATCATATTAGTATATATTATTAAAAATATTCATGATATAGATAATCGATCTTAATTTTAATAGCGTTTTATTCCAATAAAATTTTAAATTACTCATCATATTTTTTATTTTTAAAAATTTTGAGGATGTTAAAAAAAAAGTCTTGAATTTAAAAATATTTAAAAAATAATTTACTCATGGTTCAAATAGTTTAAAAATTATTGTGAATTAGTCTCTTTCATCCAAACAAAATTAAATTTAAAAAATAATAAAATTAAAATTAAAAAATATTAAGGATATTGATAAAATTTTCAACCGTGTATTTTTTAACTTTTGAATTTTTTTTTTAAGGATATTTAGGAAAAGAGTGGGGTTAATTTTAAGATATTTTAAGAGTAAATTATTGACTATTCTATTTTTGGTTATATTTACTTAAAAAGATAAAAAAAAATATATTACTCGAACTAAGATGTACATTCGACAATCCGAACCAATCCAACCTGAACTATAAGGGTCGGGTTGGGTTGGATTAACATTTTAGGTAGAATTGAGTTATTTTTTCTGAACTTGAACTGAATCTATTCAGTTTCGAGTTTGTGGGACAAAACCTTTAATTAATCCGAGCAAAATAAAAAGTATATAAAATATATTAAGTATAGTCCATATGAATAGATTTGACAAACTAATTTGGTTTGAGACTCACATTTTGACGCAAATATATATATTTGTTTGGTTATATATAATATCTTTAAATTAATCATTTTTATTGTTTATTAAATTTGATGATTTATTTTACATTTTTTTTATCTAATAAATTTTTAAGAAATATTGGTATTTAGTTATTTTTAATTTTATACTAATGTTAAATTAGGTTAATATGTTACAATTTTCGCTTATTTTTTATAATTTTTTGTTTAAGAATAATTATAGATTAATTTTTGTTTGTTGGTAGATTTTTAATATATTTTATTTAAGATTATATTTAAATAATTATAAATTGTAGTTAAATAAAACTTAAAAAAAAATTCAACCTGTATAATGTACACGCTAATCGAAACGTTTAAAAAAAATAAAAAATAAAATAAAATACACAGCTCGCGCTCGCATCGATCATCAATTGAGTCGTTAGGATAAAGCGCGATAGGATGTTTCTCTCGCCAGTGGCCGCACCTGAGAGCAACACGGTCGATTGAATTGAACTCAGTTCCCAACCCTTAATCACTTCCTTCACCCATTCTTCATCCAATTTTCCTTACCAGATTTCAATCAGTCTGCAATCCAATCGAGAATTCCACCTCCGAAGACCCCAAATTCCTCTGCAGTTCCTTCCCTCTTCCCGCGAGAAAAACCGTTGCCGAATTTTTATGTTTCCTCGTTCATTTTCTGTGGCTCTGTTGCTTCAGCTCTGTCGTTTATACGTATTATGAAGAGTAGTACATGGTTCGAGATCTGAAATTGGAATCTACTACCTGTTGAGGATGCTTCCGTGGGGAGGTCTTAGTTGCTGTTTGAGTGCAGCTGCTCTCTATCTTCTTGGAAGGAGTAGTGGCCGGTAAGTTCTTGTTTCTTTAATTTTGGACTTTTCGTGTTTGCATATTGTGAGGAATTACTCATTTGCAAGTTATAGATATGCACCGAAGTTCGCATAGACTAATTTGTTGTTGTTATGGCGTCATAGGGATGCGGAGTTACTGAAATCTGTTACGAGGGTCGATCAGTTGAAGGAACTGGGTAAGCGATTCGCTTTTTTTGAAAGATACAATTATCATTTGGTTTGCTTTCAGTTTTCTAAAATTATTGTCAGAGAGAGGTCGATTTTATGGTGCAGGATATTGTAATTAGGTTCAGGGTCCGCCCTCGCGGTCATTATTTCAATTTGCCATCCTAATCTCTCATTTTAGGAAAGAGTTGCCGCCAGATTGTGGCGGCTTCTTTCCCCCCTCAGAACCTTTAGATGTAGGCTTAAACCATAATCTTTTGTTTCTCTCTCGACTCTCTTACGACCTACTGCATAATACTGCTAGTCACATAGTTCCAGCCTCCAATAATTTCTCGGAAGGCCATATTTTGTGGACAATGTTTAGTGTAATAAAATTTATGAGGGTCTTAGGATTGTGAAACCCCAACAAGTAGTGTGCCTGCCCTGTGTCACAATCATACATTTTCAATCGTATGACGTCATGATCTTGACACGCTCATGACAAGCTTAATGGAAACTCAAGCCTCATTCACATTTTTCATCCGGCTTTGTGGCTTCGTCGAACCTTACGCGAGGTTCTCCTTTGCCAATTGAACACAACTCATGTAGAATCTCATCTTGTACAGCCACACATATCGCATGCATGTTCAATCGTCTGTGACCTTAATCAATCGACTTGCCTCTACACTGGTCAAGATTTGGCTCGACCTTGCCTCTGTTCTAGGACAAGGTCATTCATATGCGTCGTCACATCTCATCTTATCATCTACAACACAACCTTCATATCGTGATGTCATTGGTCATCGTAACCTACACGGACATGTCTATTGAGAACTGACCCCATGTGTCGATCATATAATTAGTGCCTCTTCAACATCCATCCATCTGAGTTCTATTAAGGCCACAATCCTCTCGTATCTATGGCAAGTCATTTGCGAACATCGTACCGGACAACAGGTGCATATTCCAACCTCTGACACATTGGCTGGGGTGCAATGCCAGAACACCCGTGTAGTTCGACACTATCCTTGAAAAACTCATTTTGAAGGAGGTCACCCGAAACACTTGTCCACATTGTGACACACGTATGTACCATAGGGTAGCTCGGTTAGGCCACAAGGCCTAGGGGTGGTGGAGGGTTAACACCATACCTCCCCTGTAGTACATTCTGAAGTATTTTTGGTTTGATAGGACAAGACATGATTTTGACGAACGGTCATATGATCTCGTGGTGCGTTCGTCCAGTATTCGATTGACACCAAATTTGGCAACCTTTCATCTTTCATATGGACGGACTTAACTCTAGAGCTAAATGTCCAAACTCTTTTAGGAACCTTGACTTTCAAGGTTAAGGCCTGGGGCCCTTATCAAGCCTATCTTTGACACTCATGTTAACATTATGCCTCTATCTTGCATATGTCTCAACTTGGCTTCAATGCACACTTTATATGGTGTATTGGATGATGCACCGTCCTCCTCGGTCACATCATGACACTTGTCTTGTCTCGGCCCTTGCATGATCAATTGGGCGCCACTTCTGTGTCACCACCTCGTCATGTCTGCACATGAGGGTCACAATTTACTTTCTTCATGGCATGGTTATGACACCCTGCACTCTCTCAAATTTTCCTTTTCCAAGTCCATTTTTATGTCTGATATTAATTAACAGCCCCCCAACATCTATATTGAAAAGAACGATCACTAATCACCATGTGTTCGTGTTCCGCATATTTCTGAACGATGGCGGGACCTTTTTGAGTTAAAAACATCAGGATTAAATAATGAGATTTGGATTTAATATTCTAAGTCTTCTTGATAACCAAATATAGTAGAGTTAGATAGTTGTTCTGAGGGATTAGTTCACATGCATGCATACGGGCTCAATTCTCATGGACGTATAAAAATGAAGGACTAAAGTGATATTTGTGAAACTTCATGACCCAAGATATTCTTTTTGTTTTCTAGACAACTGCTAAATTAAACCGACGAGTGCTTTCTAGTGCTATTTTTGTTCATTTTGATTTCAATAACCTTTACTAAGAGTCATTTCTTTTGGATCATGGCTATGGAGGTGATGTTGCATGAACTGATACCTTCTTTTTTCAGTTTGTGGTTATTAGTAAGATAAACTCCTTGCATATTGTTCATAGGGGGCTTGTTCTTTGTTCTTGTAACCCTACCGGCATGTTTTGGTACAGAAGCTGTTGAGGATAAGGAATGTCTTGTTCTTTTGCATTTCCTGTTTGGTTTAAATTGTTATTGGAGGTGAGTCATGAGTTAGCGACCACCATTTTTTGGGTGGTTTGCTTTTTTTTTTTAAATCCCAAAGTGTGACTAATACGAATTAGAGGCCCTTTTTGTAGAGTCTAGTGTCTAAGGTTTTTGTTTTCTCTTGGAATAGATTGGGCTTTTGATAACCAGAGTTTCAATTTCCATTTTGATATATTTTTCATTATATCAATGAATAGGGTTTTTTGTTTCAGTATTAACAAACGCTATAGAAATTTTATGTTGCCGTTTTTAAAATTCCCCATTGTGTTGCTGTTATGTTAACCATGAGCAACCCCAAGAGGTGTCTGGGTGGGAAGGGTTTTAGGTGTTTGGTGATACCTACTATGGTCTTGGGTTCAAGCCTCAACTTGAAAACTTAGTAACTTACGACCCTTATTGTCTCCTGGAGTTGGCCTTGGAGTGTGAAGCCTCATAAGGATCAGTGGGGTGAGCTATGAGCATAGTTGGAGGAGTTCCTCTTGATACTCCAATTATTTAAAGAAAAAAAACAAAAAGGAAACCACAAACATCTAATTTGGTTGTCTTTTGTATCATCATGAACTTTAAGGCCACAGGCCAATGTCAAGGATGTTGTTCACTAGGCATCATTACTCACAGGCACATGCTTTGTACTTCAATTGTTTAGGGAAAT